GGAAAATTATGTAGTTTGATAAAAGTGAGCAGTAGATATGGCAGCGATCTTGACCAGTTGAAGGCTAACGAGTAACTAGCCCTTTACGCACTGAATTATGTTTCGAAAGTGAAAAAACAATCTGAATTACTTTTCAGATCACACGCAGTCTTTGTGTTAAACTGGCAGTAACGACGCGCCTACTCCATCGAACGTCGTTCGAACAAGTTCACAACATGTGACGCTACCGTCACACTCGCGGCTAGACTCCAAACATATAATTACTCTCGGTAGAAGCTTTTATTTTCTGTGTGACGAATTCGTCACACCAGGGCTTAAAGGGCTAGAGCACCGGCATGGCGCACTTACCGGCGAACGTTGCCGAACTCGATCATTCGAGTTACGAACGAGGCAAGGCGCGGTTAAACCGACTCTGTAGTCAGCACGAGTGCCTATGGAACGGGACCTTATTTAAAGAATTATTGGCTGAAATTCATAAAGTAACAACATTTGGCGAATTTTTCCAAAAGTCGTAACAAAAGTAACAACATAAAATCTAATAAGCAAAAAGTAACACTTTTGTTACGAACATAACACCTCTGGCTAGAGGTGGGAAAATGATGCGTTGTGAAAAAAAGTCGCGCTAATCAAAACTGGCACCGCGTAGATAAAGGGTAGGTCGCAAATTTTTTTTCCGCGTTAATCAAAACCGCGGTATTCAAAACCGTGCTAATCAAGGGATTGCTGTAGATCATTTCCAGTAAAAAAAATGTTCTAATTTTATCCAATTTTTCGCCAATTTTGCCGATTTTTGCCCGATTTTTTTAGACGAATTAGAGCCTCGGGTGTGTCCCCTCCCCTAAAACCCCCGGTTCCCCACGGGTCCCTCATTGTTGTTTTCTATAGAAAACGTATAAAAAATTGGAAAAAAATCGGTACTGCCAAAAGCGGATTTTAGATTCTTAATCTACACCCCAAAAAACATAATTAAAAAAAAACGCCATTTTTTTGGATGCACTTAATCTGAAGTAATACCCTCCAAACTCCAAAATGACATATTTTGGATCATTTTGGAACAGCTACTTAGGCTTCATGCCTTCATCATACACTTTTATTAAAAATTAAAATGTAAATACTCACCTAGCTAGCTAGGCTAATTGGTCTTACTGTAGTTTTACAACAATAACAGTCACTCACTGAGTGACGGGCAAAGCAGAGTTGTTTAGATTGATCCTAAAGTTAAATTTTGAGTTCTACAAGTAAACCAGCAAATTAAGTATCAAATTTCAAATATCAATTACAATGATACCAGCATCATCATAGTAGGGTAAACGCAGTATATTCAGACATCATGGGTAATTCTGACACTTCTCAGCTTTTTTCCTTTATATCAAGCTTTGTCTTAGTTCCATTACTTCCATGCATTCATTGATGGTTGAAATAGGTAGTGACGTCATACTATTGCGCGCCATAGGCCATACTATTGCCAAAACACTAGGTCTGGGCTTAGTGGGCTATCTGTCGGGAAAATGTTAAGATCCAAAGAGACAGTGCACGTCACCCAATGAGAACATCAAAAAACATGTCAAAGTTGATAGTTGACCTTGCTCTACCAAATAGTGATTAACTGTTTGTGTAGAAAGAATATTATGGTTTGAGACTTTTCTACCCTAAAATTGAAAATTTTTACTTTTTCGGTTTTCATACTAATTTTAAAGCTTACATTCTGCCCTATCCAACGGTACCACTGCCATCTCGCTACGTTGATTTATGATTTCACGACATTTCATGAAAGGGGGCGGGTGGGGGAGTTCTTTAAGTAATTAGATAGGAACTAATTAGCTGGTGAGCTCTTTATATATAGTGTCTACTTGAGTTGTGCTGCAGTTACGTGTTTAGTCTCATCTTAAAGCTGACATTCTGGCCTATCCAATGGTACCACTACCATCTCTGTACATTGATTTTTACGTACACAACACTTCATGAAAGGGGGGCGGGGGGGGAGTTCTTTCAGTAATTAGATATGAGATAATTCGCTGTCCACCACTACAAATATAGTGTTTTTGTGAGGTCTGACTCCGTGTGCCTCCGGGCTTTGTAGGGAGAGATGTGCATGTAGTTGCTCCCATCATCCTTGAGTGGAATCAAGCGCCAGAAACATTTAGTTTGGTATCTATGCTACATTGAGCGCATATTGTGGTGCGCGCGGGACTTTGTCGTGCTCTCCTCAACATTCACACTTATTGTCACGGAAAACCTATCTCCTCCTAAAGTTTTAAAGCTACAACAAGGAGACATATACCATTCGATTTGCAAAGAATAGATCTACAAAACGACCTAGCCATTTTTTCAATTTTGTCATAGTTTGGATTTTATTCCTGAAAAAGGAGGGTGGAAAGGGGTAAAATCGAAAAATTTCCAAAAACTTTACGAAAAATGCTCCCACACCCGCAAAAATTAGAAATTCAAAAAATGGCTAGGTCGTTTTATAGATAAAGATTTTACGCATCGAATGATATGTCTCAATGTCGTAGCTTGAAAATCCTAGGAGGAGATAGATTTCAAAAGTACCTCCTTTTATGACCGTTTTCTATGAATTTCACGTTTTCTTTCATTTTTTCGAAAAATTCACAGGAACAAAATGTGGGTTTTTTTCCATTTTACATATGTGTACCGTACCAAGTTTCAGAGTGATCTGTTTGTAAATAGCCGAGATAATTTTTGGGGTAGACGCTCCCCTTAAATAAGTCTGTGAATATATTAGGAATCCTTTAAGTATACCTACTTGTATTTGCTGATTTCAAGTGGTATGGTAAATAAATTAATAGATGATTAAGTTAAGTGACGGTTTTAGACACATAAAAACTAATTCCAACACAGCTTGGAATTAGGCACATACAGCTTGTTCAGAGCTGTGTCAAAAAATTAAAATTTTTTAATTAAGCTCATTCCAAGCTCTGTTGTATTATGATACAGCTCACACAGGGCATCAGAATTCCAACACAGGGCGCCGGAATTACAAATTAATAGAGTTTAAAGCGCTGCCGGAATTAGTCTCACAATATGCCTAATTTAGTCACACACAGCATTGGAATTCAGGGATTTTGTAGGTTTGAATTCTAAAGGCTTTTGAATAAATATGGCAACAGTTAGTGACGTTTCATCTTTGCTGGCGCGTAGTGTAGTGTTTTGAGAGTGACATAAGTCGTAAAGCAATCAGAACTTGAGTTGCGCATATGGTGATATTTTTATAGCCATTCATTTCTTGCTACGTCCTTAATGTGTCGGAATATACCGCGTTTACCCTACATAAGATATACCTAAGCATTATTATTGGTTCAAATCATGAGTAAAGAAATAAAAAATGAACTGATTCTAAAACAAATCTCTGTTTTGCCAAAATGTTTACTGTACCTACTGTCCAAACCAAACATAGAGCAAAAGCTCATGAGGCAAGCTTGCAGGTTTATGTACTAAAACTATATTGGTACTATAAACATACCTATTGCCTTTAAAAATATTTTAGTAACAACTTTTGAAAATTGCAGGTACTGTGGGTTTACTGGGTTGGTGGTAAACCAGAGTTGTTTATTAATAGATTAATTTATAATTTTCCTAATTATTCAAGATTTAAACAAATATCTTACATATGATAATGTTAATGCTGGTATCCATGATACCTTCAAACGGGGTAATAAGGAACAATTCTGAATGTTTTTTTGCTGATAACTTCTTACCACGAATTGAAACATTTCACAAACAAGTGTGAGCTCATTATAAAGGTCTTTGCAGCAAGCATGGAAAACATCTAGCTTTAGGGTTGCAACTAAAGCTTTCCCACAATTTACAGAACTGCAAGATTTCCACCAGATGAATTACCTCCTATCTAATTGTTAACAAAAGTGCATTCCCTCTCTATCTGTAAGCTTACAGGAATGGGCTTGTAATTTTGAACCATTTTGATTGGGTCAAGTGAATTCACTATAACAACAAAATGTTGTAAAAACGTACTTGAAACAGAAAAAATTTTAGTGACAATCATCATATTTTTTGGAGAAATAAGTTATAGGTTAGGTTAATTACTCTCCATTTTATGTTGCCCGATGCACAATCCTATCTAAGATTCTATGCACAATTTTGACAGATGATTTTTGTTTTTGATGGACAATGCATTAATTTTTGTAAAGTGTATTTTTTTTTGCTTAGCAATGTAAATGTAGTCAAAATTCTTGGTTGTTAATCTTTTTTTTTTTTTTTTGTTAACTGGAACCTTTGCAAACTGAGGTTCTACAGTGAATGTGTTTTTAGAAGTGTCCCTTATTACCCTTATTGCTCTGCCTTAAAAAATTGCCACGATTTTGTTTTTGATTGAGGTACAAAAATTCTGTCAATGAAGTTTTAAAGTGGACACCTGTCTGCAACCTTTTTTCAAACAAAATTTTTAAATATGGCAACTTTTTTTTACTACGGACCTTGGCAGAAGTACTTTTTCAAAATATCATTTTTCAACAATTTTCAAGGAATTTCCTGAGCTAGTGATGTATGATTTCTCAACTTCCTTTATGCTACATAGATAGGAGAAATATATATTTCAATTAGTTTCTTATTCCACTTAACTGCTATAGGTAACATTTTTATACCATGATGGAGGACTGTCCCTTATCACCCTGTCCATCCCTCATTACCCTGTCTGTCCCTTATTACCCCTCTGTCCCTTATTACCCCTCTGTCTCTTATTACTCCATCCATCTCTCATTACCCTGTCCGTCCCTTATTACCCCATCCGTCTCTTATTACCCCATGCATCCATTATTATCCCGTTTGACAGTATAGATTGTGATTCTTACTACCAGTACCTATAGAAGATATCTGATGAAATGATTGTTACTATAAATAATATTTAATAAAATGATGCTTAATATAGAAAATATCTAACGAAAATATTGTTACTATGTAGTAAAGATAACTTATTTTCAGAGTATCTTGAGCTACAACGGAGGCTGCGTGGTGGCCATGAAGGGCAAGAACTGCGTGGCTATTGCGTCTGACCTCAGATTTGGTGTCCAGCTTCAGACCATTGCTACTGACTTTGAGGTGAGAATTGCTATCATAACGTTTAATTATCATTTCACTAGTGTATATCATAATGATGCTTTGTTATTATTACACTAGTGTATATCACTAGTGTATATCATAATGATGCTTTGTTATCATTACACTAGTGTATATCATAATGATAGATAGAGATTCACTGGGGAGCCAAGGAGGGCGCCAGTCTGAAAAAGTTTGGGAACCACTGCACTAGTGTTTATCATAATGATACTTTATTATAATTACACTAGTGTTTATCATAATGATGCTTTATTATCATTACACTGGTGTTTTATGTAGGGAATGTCTGCATGGTGACCTGGGGCTCTTCAGCTATAATATATAGATACCTATATACTATCATTTAACTTACCTAGGTGCCTAACCTGAGAGTAACTTTTCTGGGTTATGCACATAGGAAAGTTAAATTATGAATAAATTTTAGGCAAATCCGGCATTATTTTTCATGTAACATGCTTTAATGAAGGGCTCCTTCCTATATACTAATATATACTGTATATATAAAAATTATTTTCTATTCTACAGCTTCCCTGTGTTGTTAGGTTGTATATGTTCTTGTTCTTATGATATCTGGAAATATACGTAGTTCAACACTTAACACTAAGATGCTTGTTTAAATTATTTAGTCGAAGTTTTTCAAGATTTCAAAGATTTTTTTTTTTGTGTTCATCCAAAACAGTTGTTGGAGGTATAGAAATCTAGGCCCTACTTTACCCCTAGGGTTGAGCTACTTATTCAATATAGAGTGGGAAGATCTCATTTTAGATTCGGTTCTCTGAAAAGAACAGTTATTTATGTTGTTTATTATATGATAGGGGATAGGTCACAAATTTGATGTATTGCTTTTGATTCATTGACTAACTGCTAATGAATCTGAGCTTGAAATGCTTGTCATGCTGGCTTGGCTTGTATGTTGTTGTTGCCCTGTTCCCAATCCCGGCATCACTGGTCCAGCGGTCCAGTCCCTCCAAAGGTCTTTGATGCTGAGGGATGTTGGGTTGTTTGATCTGTCAAAGAGGTGTGGCACATCATCCAGGGAGAGATAACAATAACACATTAGTTTCTGATGCTGTTGTTTGTTCTGCTATTGTAGCTGTTGAGGAATTTGCAGTGACCGGAAAAAAGTTGTGCCTGCACCCTTCTTTCCGATGGAGAAAGCCTACTGTTGAGTAGTACTGGTGCGTGGCATGAAGTGATGGCAGCTCGAGCAGTGTTGGAATGGAGGGAGTTAGTGGCTGCCTCAAGGGTTTCATTGTTGATGTTGATTGGGAGTACTGTCAGAACAGCATTGATGTGTTTGGTGTAGAGTGTCTAATGTTGTGGGGTTGGTGGACCAGTTTTATGATTTGGTGGCAAGCAGGTTGTGGCATTGTTGCAGGTATTGGACAGAAAAGAGGTCTGTGTGTTGCTGGACGGTGAGCATTTCATATTCGGAGTGAAGATGTTGTTCGGCGGTTGTGTTGTGGTAACCTGTTATTGTTCTCAGAGCTGAGTTTTAAACTATTTGGAGGCAGGTGATGTTGGTGGAAGAATGTGGTAACCCCTTATTTATTTCAGTTTACTTTAGTGTAGCTTCATTGGTTTCAGTTTATCAGCATTCATTGAGTAATTTATTCATGCCAGCTGATCACAAAGATACTTTTCAGCGCGTGTTCGAGGTGGGGCCAAACCTGTACATTGGCCTGCCCGGCCTCGTGACCGACACGCAGACCGTTGCCCAGAAACTCCAGTACCGCACCAAAATGTATGAGATGAGGTGAGATGAACCTGCCTCTTCCCTGCTACCACATTTGTGATCTCCCACATTTGTGCTGCTCATGTTTTATTATGTTGATTTTAATTTCTTTAATTAATCTTTAAATTATCCTTGGCTAAATTGTGAAGGCTAATTGTTAAGTTTGTGGGAAACTCCAGTACCGCACCAAAATGTATGAGATGAGGTGAGATGGACCTGCCTCTTCCCTGCTACTACGTTTGTATTCTCCCACATTTGCGCTGCCCTAGTTTTACTATGGTAATTTTAACTTCTTTAAACCTGCTGCCAACTCTCGACCAGAAACGAAAAGCCGGAGTTTGACACTGAACTTAATATTTAAATTATCCATGGCTAAATTGTGGAGCCTAATTGTTAATCACCCGCTGGTGTTCAGCCCGGGCTTTAAAATATCTTGCTTTAAAATATCTCTCTTTAAAATATCTTGCTTTAAAATATCTCGCTTTAAAACATCTCGCTTGAAAATATCTTGCTTTAAAATATCTCTCTTTAAAATATCTCTCTTTAAAATATCTCTCTTTAAAATATCTTGCTTGAAATATCTATTTAAAATATCTTGCTTTAAAATATCTTTCTTCAAAATATCTAGCTTTAAAATATCTTGCTTTAAAATATCTCTCCTTAAAATATCTATTTAAAATATCTTGCTTTAAAATTTAAATTTGTGGGCAGAGAGGGAAGACAAGTGCGGCCACAGACGCTGATGGCGATGGTGCAGAACCTGTTGTATGAGCGCCGCTTTGGCCCGTACTTTGTGGAGCCCGTCATTGCCGGCATTGACCCGTCCACCAACGAGCCTTTCATTTGCGCCTTTGACCTCATCGGCTGCGCGTCGACGCCTGGCGACTTCTGCGTCGCTGGTACATTGCTCGCCTTGCTTAGCTGACATTCCTTTGTTATAATTACATTAATTTATATTGTATTTGTTTCATATAAACATGTAATGATGTCTTGAGTCCACATGTTCAGGCAGCATGTAATGCCGTCTTGAGTCTATGTGTTCAGGCAGCATGTAATGCGTTCATGAGATACCATTTGCTATTTACTGTTTTTATGTCTGTAAGTTTATTTGTAACTATAACTGTTATTACGATTCGCTATTTACTAGTTTCGTGTCAGGTAGTTTAGGTATCACCACTATTACAATTTGATATTTACTAGTTTTGGATCTGACGCTTAAGAAATGAAGATGTAGGGCTGAAAATGAGCAGATCTGCGTGGCTAGAATTCATTATAAATGTTATGATGATCCCGTGAGCTTACGTTGATACTATGTAGCAAGACATATTGGTGATGTGAAATATACATGCCTTACATACCGATGATGTAAGCATGTCATATGTATGTAGCATGTCATACCGATGATCATTGCATGTCATATGTACTGATGTTGCCATATGTACTGACGATGTAAACACTGCATGCCATATGTACTGACGATGTAATCATTGCATGCCATATGTACTGACGATGTCATCATTGCATGCCATATGTACTGACGACACAAGCATTACAGGTACGTGTGAAGAGAACCTGTTCGGCATGTGCGAGACGCTGTGGCGGGAGGACCTGGAGCCAGAGGACCTGTTTGAAGTGATCAGCCAGAGTTTGGTGAACGCCTTCGACAGAGACGCGTCCTCAGGCTGGGGGGCTGTCGTGCATATCATTGAGCCTCACCAGGTCACCACTCGGCGGCTTAAGTGCCGGCAGGACTAAAGGACTCAAGCAATTCCCCTTAATTATTTCAGTTGTAGCAGAGTATTTTTTCTTATGAGGTTCTCTAATTCTAATCTCATTTGGATTTTTGGGGGTGCCACGATATTTTTTCTTATTACTTCGTAGGGTTTCCATCTTTATTTGTATGCAAACTTGATTATTTATCACTATTATATACATTCACTTCCTTTTTGTTGAGTAAAGCTCTCACTTGAATTTTTTTGCGATCGTAACTTCTAGGATGACGAGATTGTATGATTGTGTGTGGATGCCTGAATGCCTTCACACAAGATGCAGGGAGCTTTGGCTTTAACAGGAATCATTCTGTATAAAAAAATTTTTCCAAGCTAATATCGTTGTAATTGAATTTGTAGGCGACTGTTTCAGCTGCTAGGAAGGACGGTTCTAATATTGCCTATGGTTCAATCTAGTTCATGCAGAGAATCCCCAGCCTAGTTGCTTGCTTTGAACTCGTGACAGTTTGTTACATTCTGGGCGCTTCTAAATTGATATTATGAGGTTTTGTACTCAAGAAAAAAATGAATAACAGAGCACTGCCAGCAAAACATTGCTCATTTTATTGTTTTAGTTCTTTATTTTGAATGAATTTTTTCTCAACTGCGCCGTGAACCTCTAGACCGAGCTGCGCCCTCTTAAAAATGTTTTAGCTTCGATTCCCATTATTAAAATTTATTCATATTTTGCACTATTTTCTTTTATCATTGTTTCAAAGCTCATATGACCAAAAACTCGTTGGAAATATCTTGAGCCATGCCTTCTTTAATGTAGGGAAGAAGCCTAGGTCTATAATGCTATATCAGGCCTATAATGTTATACTAGGCCTATAATGTTATACTAGGCCTATAATACTACACTAGGCCTATAATGCTACACTAGGCCTATAATGCTACACTAGGCCTATAATGCTATACTAGGCCTATAATGCTACACTAGGCCTATAATGCTACACTAGGCCTATAATGCTATACTAGGCGCCAGAACCTCGTGCTTATATGCTGTCTGCAGGTGACATGACGCGGCTCTTGTCTGCCGATAATAAACGAGCTTGCCTGGTGCCTGGTCTCCTTCACACCTGAGAGATACACTACAGTGTTGTCCAGTGTCTAAATATGATCGAATTAAACTATTGTATTACATGATACGTCGTGGTTGAGCATCATTAATGTGTTGCAAAAATATAATATGGACAGTACGGTGATACGTCGTGTTAAATGCATCATTAATGTGTTGCCATAATATTATATGGACTGTACGGTGATCTAACGGAACCCATGAACGTTGCTGATGACTTGTGTCCAGGGGCAGCGTATAGCTGCTGAGGGTCTGGCTTTCCCCGACTCCCTGTGTCTGGGGGCAGTGTATGGCTGGCCTCCCCCGACTCCCTGTGTCTGGGGGCAGTGTATGGCTGCTGGGGAGCAGGCCTCCCCCGACTCCCTGTGTCCGGGGGCAGTGTATGGCTGCTGGGGGACAGGCCTCCCCCGACTCCCTGTGTCCGGGGGCGTATGGCTGCTGGGGAGCAGGCCTCCCCCGACTCCCTGTGTCCGGGGGCAGTGTATGGCTGCTGGGGGGCTGGCCTCCCCCGACTCCCTGTGTCCGGGGGCAGTGTATGGCTGCTGGGGGACAGGCCTCCCCCTACTCCCTGTGTCCGGGGGCAGTGCATGGCTGCTGGGGGGCTGGCCTCCCCCGACTCCCTGTGTTCGGGGGCAGTGTATGGCTGCTGGGGGTCTGGCCTCCCCCGACTCCCTGTGTCCGGGGGCAGTGTATGGCTGCTGGGGGGCAGGCCTCCCCCTACTCCCTGTGTCCTGGGGCAGTGTATGGCTGCTGGGGGACTGGCCTCCCCCGACTCCCTGTGCTGCTACATTTTCATAAATCTTAACTTCGGCATCAAATTGATCTTGAGTTGAATTCTATCTTTGTAATATTCAATACAGTGCATAAATTATCGTTTGAATTTCATATCTCATATTTTTAGGCATATAATTTTTTAGAATTTTGATGAATAGTGACATTAGTGTACAAATCCAGCCCTATGTTAATTGATGTTCTGACAATCACATGGACTGGACATCTAATCGGCGCCTTAGCCGCACACCAGATATCGAAACCACTGTATTTCTTCATACATTTAATTACGATATTCTAAAGTCATTATTTTTGATGGCGAATAATATAAATTCTCCAAAGATTTGAAATGTTAGTCATTCACATCTAATACAAATTTTCTCAGGAGCTGCATGTGCTTCCCAGATCTAAAAGTTGTCCATGTAAATGGCAAGCAGATTGCGGAACTATGCTTAAATTCGGGATTGTAATGAGGCAATGCGATACCATAGGTCGTTTTAGCACCGTTTTTTTAGCGCATTTTCTCATTTATGAAAAAAATGCACTATTGTGCTCGCCATGTCCGTCTGTCCGTCCGTCTGTCTGTCCGTCCGCGACTTCACGTTTTCGTTGACAAGAAAATGCGCTCTCTGTCACTCACTGCAGTGAGTACTGAGTTATATTTTTTCTCTTTCCGGAAAGTCTCATATCTAACTGAACTATTATTTTGTCCCTCAGATAAAATATTCTACCGAAGCAGAGGCAAACTGAAATCTTGCTGCTTGCCTTCATTCAAATTCATTTATAATTTGCGTTTGTCGCAAGTTCGACATTCTTTCCAGAAATGTCGGCCTCTAATCACTTTTCCAAGACCTTGGAGGATATTGTCCTGGATTTCCTAGTTCAAAACATAGAATTGCTGGAAAGTTTGGTTGGATTTCCTCAAGTGGTGGGAGAAAAAATTCTGCGTTCGTGCCTGAGAAGCGGCGTTTTGGAGGCACAGAACACATGTTCGGAGGCAGTTTTCCATCTTTTTGTAAATGCTTACGAATGTGACATGCTTGGGAGCTTCGCTATTGGTGAACAGGACCGCAGGTTCATTGCCAAATTCGGTGAATTTTTGTCTCCAGCTTTACGGTTTGTGTCCGAATTAAGTTTGTGCAACTGTGGCTTGACGGCCGATGAAATATTGTCATCTTTTGGGTCGTTTGAGAACCTGCGAGTTTTGGATCTTTCTGACAACTTCTTATCAGACGAAGGCCTGCGACTGCTACTGGCGAGACAGAAGGTCTTCAGGAACGGCTTCCAGCGGCTGCAGGTGCTGGACCTGCGCAACAGCCACGTCGACATGGCATACCTGCCAACGCTGTTGCGGCTACCGCACCTACAGCGCCTCGCCTTCTCTGTCTGCACAACGAAGCTCCGGTCCCCGATCGCCGCAGTCGCCCCCAAGTCAGGATTATGTTTTCCCGCGCAGAAATATTCCTCCAAATTGAATCAGGAAAATTTTCATTCCGCACTCCTAAAGTGTCTTAAGGAATCCGGATTCAGGCTAGATTCCGATTCTTTGAATTGTCAGGTCGCTGATTTCGGAGCTCTAGCCCCGAGCCTGCGCCGCTGGATGGACGATTTTCATCAACAGACGACGTGCAGGCGCGGCAAGGAGTCGGGATCTTTCTATTCCCGCTCCTCAAAGACCAGAAACTCTACCCAGTGCCATCGCCCTGTGCTAGACCACTTCATTGTGCGACGTTCCGCTGATAAGCCGACTGATGTTCCGATGGAAATTAACAACATAAATTCCTGTAGAATTAATCCTTCCAATCCTCTCGTTGTTCCCGCGACTCATCGGCTGAATTTGGCCCCAGTGAAGAGAAAAGCTTCAAGCTCAACTTCACCACTGGAACTTGAAAATGAAGCGCTGTCTTCGTGTACGAGCGTGAGTGGTGAAGCACGTCTTGGAAGCCAGACCGCCTTTGCCGTTTCCAGAACTGGCGCTTCAAGAATAATTTCCCTCCCAACCAATAGCTCTAGTGGCAGTAGTTCGGGTAAGAAGACTGCAAGTGGAAGTTCCTCAGAACCTGAGATTGAAGTTTGTTTCAAGTCAAAGAGAATGAAACTTACTCTCGAGGACGCAGATATTCTTTCATTTTACACTTAGCGATAAATTGTGAAGTTTTTCGTCAACGTTTTCCAAAGATGTTTTACCTCAGCGTTTCCTTCGTTCATAAGTATGTTAATTGGCGCCTCTAATTAGTTGTCACGATATTTTCCTAGAGTTCCACCTAATTGTATATATTTAACTTGGTCTTTGTGGCATAGGCAATAGACGCTTCTTCTGAAAATTTTATCTCTATGTTCAAATTTTTGCGCCATGAATTCGCTAGTCAAGTATTGGTGGCTAAAGCGCGGTAATATTTGTGTGAATTTGAAGTATAAAATGAAAGTTTGATTCATCTCGCTTTAATTAATTTGATTTGAGTTTTGCGTTGCCCTTCAACCCTTGCAAATAGTCATTTAGATGCAGCAAGCCAGCTTGTCGTGTGCTGGCTATTCAGTTATTGCGGTATCGCTTCCAGTGTTCAACGACGCCAGTCTTCCTATCTCAAGTTATGAAATACGGAACATTTTCATTTGTTTTTTCTCGGCATTTTCTTTACTCGATAGGAATTTATGTTTACGAAATGTTCGAATTAATAGCGCTAAGAACCTGCAGGGACAGCAACGTGAGCATTATAACCTACTTTTTACTACAGGTTGATCATTTGGCTTGTGGCCAAATTGGCTTGGCTTGGCTACCTTGTACCACGAGTATTAGTTCTTATTGCACAGTATTAGGTCTTAGTGAATCCTTCACCGAAACTGATGAAGTTACATTTGTTATTCAAATTTGATATCCTTCGTATATAATAATAATTCATGTGTTATTGGTTTGGTTGAGTGGGTGTGGTGTGGTTGGTTAGATAAATAGGTTAGAATTAGTTTATGCGACTTATTTTGGGTAAGATAATGAGGGATAGATTTTTATTAATCAATACCTCGTAGAACTGAGGCCATAATAGCAACAAAAGGTGGATCTTGACCACACTAAATATATTTATAATACAATATCTACGCAACGATAGAAATGATGCTTAGTTCTGCCAGCAAAATTTTGTCTCTCCCTGGTTCTTTGCATCATCTTAGAATTGCTGGATTAATAAAAACACTTAGACATTATTTAACATTTCACGTATCATACATGTCAAATGATATAACTAATAAATATCTTGTACTTAACAACTAGCAAGTATCTTGCATCTGTCGACTAAATTGGAGGGCCCAAGATGGTCAGCCTAACTCCCTTGAGCGACCATCACGATGTTTAGAACGCCTGGTCAACGCATTTGAATCGACAGAGCTGGGCAGCGCTAATTTGAAACGAAGCGGCCGCTACCGCTATCGCTACAAGGTCTAAATGTAGTGAGCCAGCCCTACCGCTACAATTGCTTAAATGTAGCGCCGCTACCGCTACTGAAAATGTAGCGGCCGCTACATGTAGCGCGCTACTGCCCACCTCTGCGGATAAAATAAGATGATTATGAGAGAAAGGCTTAAATGAGGCAATCAATGACGTAATTAACGTTTCTTGCTGATGGCGTTGAGACGTAGCCATTGGGCTTATGGACTGGAGTGGCAAGACGAGCTGTCAAGACGGCGCCTGTTTGGGCAGATTTATTGAGTGCCATGGAACTGAGAGCGATGCAACGGTCGAACGTAAGGTGTTTGTAGCAAGAATGGTATTTTGAGCTGGCAAAAGAATAACTTTTATGGATGGTTCTTTCACTGTACTTTTTTTCGAACCACTCAACATGTTTATTACCAAGCATTCATGAAGATGTGTGCTGTAGCATTTTATCTACTGAATATTTTATGCGAGTTTCCGACTCTCCTTGCTGACATACAGTTCAGCCTCTAGCTGTGTAGAGTAATTCTGGTCGAGACATTACTAGAAGCCTAGAGAAACTCGCATAATAGATTAAATGTAGGTTGCTCGTGAAATGTACCTACAACATCGGAGATGATCTGTTCGGGACGCCTTGGACAATTTTACGGTCGGACTCGGGGCGGGTCTCCAAATTCAATGATCAAAGACAATCCCCTAAGGAACGCAGCTCGATGAAACTTGGTACACGTAGTCATTAGGACCTAACGGTGATGTTTGGCTCGTTGAAATTTCTTGAGGGGAGCTTCT